CAACTGTGAACAGAGATAGTTTTATTTCTTCCTTCCCAGTTCAGTTCAGTTCAGTTGTTCAGTTGTGTCCGACTCTTTGCGACCCCATGGACTGCAGCACGCCAAGCTTTTCTGTCTATCACCAACTCCCAGAGCTTGCTCAAACTCATGTCCATCGAGTTGGTGATGCCATCCAACCATCTCATCCTCTGTCGTCCCCTTCTCTTCCTGCCTTCAATCTTTCCTAGCATCAGGGTCTTTTCCAAGGAGTCACTTCTATGCATCAGGTGGTCAAAGTATTGAAGTTTCAGCTTCAGCATCAGTCCTTCCAATGAATATTCAGGACTCATTTCCTTTAGGATCGACTGGTTTGATCTCCTTGCAGTCCAAGGGACTCTCAAGAGTTTTCTCCAACACCACAGTTCAAAAGCATTAATTCTTTGGCACTTTCTTTATGGTCCAAATCTCACATCCATACATGACTACTGGAAAAACCATAGCTTTGACTATATGGACATTTGTCAGCAAAGTAACATCTCCATTTTTTAATATGCTGTCTGGGTTGGTCATAGCTTTTCTTGCAAGGAGCAAACGTCTTTAATTTCATGGCTGCAGTCACCATCTGCAGCCAATCTGTATTTAAAGGTTAACTTTCTTTTCTGATATTACGGCATCACCCAGGACTATAATGCAATGTTCAGTAAGAGTGGTGAGGGAATTCCCTGGTAGTCCAGTAGTTAGGACTCTGCTTTCAGTGCCAAGGGTGCAGGTTCAATAACTGGTGAGGGATTCCACAAGCCCCCGGGCACAGCCAAAAATATAGGAGTGGTGAGAGTGGACAGCTTTGCCTTATTCCTCATCTGAGGGGAAAGAATCTAGCAATCTAGTTTCTCACCATTATGAAGTTAGCTGTGGGGGTTTTAATTCCTTATTAAATTGAGGAAATTCCTCTGTATTCCTAGCTTGTTGAAATTTTTTATCATGAATAGGTGTTGGGTTTTATAAAAATGCTTTTTCTCTATTTATTGATATGACCAAAGAAATTTTCTTCCACAGCTTATAGATGTGATGAGCTACATTAATTGATTTTTTAATGTTTAACCAATTTATACACATGGAATAAATCCCACTTGGTCACGGCATATAATTCTTTTTATGTATTGCTGGATTTGACTCGCTAATGTTTTGTTAAGAATTTTTGCATCTATGTTCATGATAGATACAGAACTGCAGTTTTCCTTTCTTGTAATATCTTTATCTGGCTTTGGTGGAAGGATGATGCTTGCCTTTAAAAAAAAAGAATGAAGAAGTGTTCTCTATGCTTCTATTTTCTGAGATTATAGAGAATTGGTGTGATTTCTTCCTTAAATGTTTGATACCATTCACTAGTGAACTCACCTGGGCCCAGTGTTTTCTGTTATGGAAGATTATTAATCATTGATTTAAAAAATTTAATAGTTAGAGGCCTATTCAGACTGTTTTTTTCTGAGAATTTGGTAGATTATATCTCTCATAGAATTGGTCCATATCATCTAAGTTATCAAATTTGTCAGCATAGAGCTGTTTATAATATTTCCTTCATTATTACTCTAATCTTCATAGGATCTGTAGTGATGACCCCCTTTATTTCTGATATTAGTAATTTGTGTCTTCTCCTTATCTGGCTAGAGTCAACCATTTTATTCATTTTTTCAGAGAAACAGGCTTTGATTTCATTGATTTTCTCTTATTAACTTCCTGTTTTCAAGTTTCACTAATTTACACTCTACTCTGATTTTTATTATTTCATCCCTTCTGCTTACTTTGGATTTAATTTTCTTTTTTTCTAGTTTCCTCTTGTGGAAGCTTAAATTATTGATTTTAGATCTTTCTTCTTTCCTAACACATGCACTGTATCCCACAAATTTTGATAAGTTGTATTTTCATTTAGTTCAAAATATTTTCAAATTCTTCTTGAGATTTCTTCTTTAATCTGCCTGTTATTGAGAAGTATGTTGTTTAATCTCCAAGTTTTGAGGAAATTTCCAGCTATGTTTCTGTTATTTCCAGTTTCATTTCATTGTGGTCAGAGAGCATATATTTTATGATTTCTATTTTTAACTTGTTAAGGTGTGTTTTATGACCCAGGATATGGTCTACTCTGGGGAATGTTCTATGTGAGCTTGAGTGTACTGTTGTTGGATGTGGTTTAGAAATATCAGATTAGATCCAGTTGACTGATGGTGCTGTTGAGTTCAACTACGTACTTAGTAATTTTCTACCTGCTCAATCTGTCCACTGCTGACAGAATGGTGCTGAAGTTTTCAAGTATAGTGGACTTATCTATATCTCCTTGCAGTTCTATCAGTTTTTGCCTCACATTTTTTGTTGTTAATGCTCTGGTTTTAATGAAAAATATTGTGATTCCATTTTCTCCATCCTTTCTTAGTGTATCAGTTATATGTATTTCTAAAATTTTATAGTTATGAAATTTCAATCTCTCTGATTACACTACACATCTGTCTTTGACATGTTGTCTACTTTTTCTCATGAGAGCCCTTAGCAAATTAAACATCACTGCTTTAAACTTCTGAGAATTTCAACGTCTCTGCCATGTCTGAGTCTGATTATGCTTGATTTGTCTTCTGTTGTTTTTTTTTCTTGCTTTTTATCATCCTTTGTAATCTTTTGTTTGGAGGCCAGACATGATGTATCAGGAAACATGAACTGAGGCGATCAGGCTTCTAGTATAAGGTTTTTTGTTAATCTGTTAGATAGGAGCTAGGCAGCAGCACTTTACATTTTCTATAGCTGTAAGTTTAATCAAAGCGGAGGCTTGATTCCTTATTTTTCTTGTCTTCTTCCCTGTTGTGTTTTTTCCCCTAGGAATTCTCTTAAAGAGCCTGACTTGGAACTCTTAGTCATAATTCACAGATACTACACTGGAATTTTGTTGTCATGGTGGAAGGGTGTGGAGAGCATTCAATTATCTTGTTATCTCTGTCCTTTCTTTAGCCTAGGTCTCTGGGCTGTGACCTTTAGAAATATTTCTTAGACTGTATCTCTTCTCCCATGACACAAGGCTAAAAAAAAAAGTGTTTAGTTGCTAAGTCCTGTCACAAGTAGGCTAACAGGGACTGAAATTATCCAGCTGGCTTTTCCCCAGGTCAGATAAGGCCTTGGTAGAGTAATTTCCTTCAGAGGGCAGGCCTTTGTCATGGAAAATGATCTGGAAGTATTTCAAAATAGTTGCTTTCTCCTCCCCTAGGATCCCTCATCTTAATCATGATAATTTCCTGGAGTGCCAGGGGGTTTTAACTGTCCTGCCAATCCAAACTTATTGCTATTGTTTAGCTGCTAAGTCATGTCCAACTCTTCTGCAACCCCATGGGCTGCAGCCCACCAGACTCCTCTGTCCATGGGATTTCCCAGGCAAGAATATTGGAGTAGATTGCCATTTCCCTCTCCAGGGGATCTTTCCAAAGCAGGGATCGAACCCACATCTCCTGCATTGCAGGCATTCTTTACCACTGAGCCACCACAGAAGCCCTAGTCCATGGTTCAGTCAGTTCAGTTCAGTTCAGTCGCTCAGTCGTGTCCGACTCTTTGCGACCTCATGAATCATAGCACACCAGGCCTCCCTGTCCATCACCAACTCCCGGAGTCTACTCAAACCCATGTCCGTCGAGTCGGTGATGCCATCCAGCCACCTCATCCTCTGTCGTCCCCTTCTCCTCCTGCCCCCAATCCCTCCCAGCATCACGGTCTTTTCCAATGAGTCAACTCTTCACATGAGGTGGCCAAAGTATTGGAGTTTCAGCTTCAGCATCAGTCCTTCCAATGAACACCCAGGACTGATCTCCTTTAGGATGGACTGGTTGGATCTCCTTGTGGTCCAAGGGACTCTCAAGAGTCTTCTCCAACACCATAGTTCAAAAGCATCAATTTTTCGGCACTCAGCTTTCTTCACAGTCCAACTCTCACATCCATACATGACCACTGGAAAAACCATAGCCTTGACCAGACGGACCTTTGTTGGCAAAGTAATGTCTCTGCTTTATAATATGCTGTCTAGGTTGGTCATAACTTTCCTTCCAAGGAAAAAGTCCATAGTTAGCCTCCAGTAATTTGTCAAAGTTACCATTTCACTATTTACCAGTTACTGGCCCAAGCTGGTCCGCTCCTGGTAAGCTGACCTCTACTGTGACTCTGTTTATTTCTCCAGTTTTGGGAGTGGTGGTGTGCCCTATGACCTCAATTCTCTGGTGGATTTAAGAAAAGGAATGGATTTTTTTCCACCTGTTAAACCTTTTCTTGCTGTGAGGATGGATTGACTACTTGAGCTCCTTACATGTTTGAGTTGAAACTGGTAGTTGCCTACAAACTCTTTTTTAAAAGTCCTTCCCCATTTTCTCTATGAAGGGAAGCCGGAATGATTTTGAGGAGTCTTTGCTGATCTTTCTCTAAATAAAAAATTCCCCACTGTGTGCTCTCAGACTTGGTACAGGTATTTCACGTGCTGACTCTTGGCTCTGTGACTGTGAATACCTAGGGAAGAGGCTTTTTGGTTTATCTTTTCACTTCTTGCATAAGGGACAAATAATTGTCTGCTTTTAAGTGAAAGGGAAAAGGAACAAAACACCATTCACTAATTAAAAACAAACTACTACTCTTATTTGGCTCACTTCTCCATTTATTAGAATAACCACATGTGGAGAGGCACAATGCACTTAAGTTTTACATGACTACAAAGTTATCACAAATCCCGAACTTCTTAACCACAGTTATTTCACTTACTCTGTTTAAAGAAAAAGCTTTCAAAACATCTGAGTTAGCTTGATACACAGAGACCCTGAATAAATGGAAACTACGTACTTTTAAATGCTTGTACTTCCTGCTCTAATAATGTCTTTTTTAAATAGAATCCAGCATAAAAGGGATTGAAATATGTAAGGTCATGATGCAAATGTTTCTGAGAGAGAGTGAAATGAATCCGTACAACATGGAAACAGATGTAGTGTGCACAGATGGTCTGCAAGGAGTCACTGCGCCATCTGGGCCTCCATGGCTTGTGCTGTCCATTCTGGTGCTGTCTGACTGATTTTCTCCAACAGGTTATTCACCTGGAAACAGAGTGACTGGATCTGTTTGTCCCATGTTGGCAGGGCTTCTCGTGCTAAAGAGAAAAGGAATAATGTACAAAGCTGAAGTCACTCCTTTGCAACCATAGTGAATGTGAGTTAGAAGACAAAATACAGAAACACTGATTTTTAAAAGTTTACTTCAAAACTCTTGGCTGATAAAATTAAGCTAATTATGCAACAGTTAAGAAAAGTACTCTAATCACTGGTACAGAGTATAAAACAAAACAAAGGTACACAAAATAAAACCAACCAAACCACCTCAACTACAACAATAAGGCGACTTCACCGAAGTCAAAGCACTGAAGTGCTTTTGTCACTCAGTTTATACCTTCGTAAGATCCCTGGAGAAGGGACAGGCTACCCACTCCAGTATTCTGGCCTGGGAGAATTCCATGGACTGCATAGTCTGTGGGGTCACAAAGAGTCCAAGCAGGACTGAGCGACTTTCACTTTCTTTCACTTTATACCTTCATAAGACACTGCCACCTGCTGGGGAAAGTAAGTCTATTTATCTACTCCACACTGTCTCTACTGGACTCTAAAAAATACTTTAATATTTAAACTCCAAACAAAAAACCTCATGATCTAGCAGGCTTTTCTCTACACCAGCAATCTGCAGTTAGAAATGAAAAACTATGGGGCAAGTTCCACCCAAAACAGCATCAACATTTACAAATTTGGGCACAGAATTAATGAAGGGAAAAAAACTATAAAATCTTAATAAAGGACACAAAATAACCTGAGTAGATACAAATCACATTTCCAGCTGGAAAGATGTAATATCTTAAAAATATCAGTCCAGTATTAAAACATAAAGAAATTTTAATTTTGAAAATTAAAAACAGACAAAATTATAGTATATCTACACAACTAAGTATTATTCAGCCTTAAAAAGGAATGAAAAAAGTACTGACTACATGTTATAACATGAGTGAAACTTGAAAACACTACATTAAGTGAAAGAAGCCAAAAGGTCACATATTGTACGGTTTCATTCATATCAAATATCCAGAACAGGTAAATCCACAGAGACAACAGAAGTTAGTTGCCAGGGGCTGGAGAGAGAGAGGTATGAGTAAGTGCTTAAGGGCCATGGGGCTTCCATTTGAGAAGATGAAAATATTCTGGAATCAGGCAGAGGTGGTGGCTGCACAACACTGTAAACAGACTAAATGATACAGAATGATTAATCTCACATATGTGCATCTCACCTCAGTTAAAAAATAGTAGTGGAGGGATAGGGTCTGCTTTATCAACAGTAGAATCTATTATAAATTTATTACCTAATATTGTTACAGATCCATGGAACCGAAAAGAGTACAAAAAGAGATCCAAATTAATCTGTGAAACCCGTGTGCGTGCTAAGTCACTTCAGTTGTGTCTGACTCTTTGCAACCCTGTGGACTGTAGCCCGCCAGGCTCCTCTGCCCAAGGGATTCTCCAGGCAACAATACTGGAGTAGGTTGCCGTGCCCTACTTCACAGGATCTTCCCGACCCAGGGATCAAATCCACGTCTCTTACATTTCCTGCATTGGCAGTCGGGTTCTTTACAACTAGCACCATTTAAAACCTAATACACTCCAAAGATCAGAAAGGATGTTTTATTTAATAAATGATACACACATAATTGGCAATCTATCTTTAAAAAAAACCAGCTAGACCACGACTGAAAATAATACACAAAAATGAACTACAGGTTGAATTTGTAAATATAAAACAATAAATAAAATATTAAATAAAATTTAAATATTAATTTAACCCCAAAGTGAAGGAGACTTTCTTAATTAATACAGAAAACACAAAACTCATAAAATTAAAAATGGACATATTTGGCTGCAAAATAAGCTTTTAAATGTGTCTGGGGTTAAGGTTTATGGTACACATTGCCTAACAGAAACACAACTGATACAATGACAAAAGTATCTGTTAACATTGAAATAGGAAAGGGATGGAGGAGAAAGGATAGAAATGTTTAAGAAAAAATAACGTCAATTCACAGACAAGAAAATGCTAATGACCAATACATGGAAAGATTTAAACTTCACCAGTGCCAAGGAAATGCACAGTAAGACAATAATGCAGTATTTCCCCTCAACAACTGGCAAAAGATAAAAAGAAAAAGAATATCCAGTTGTTAAAGATTCATTCTCCCATGTTGGTGGAAGTGTAAATGGCTACAGCTTTCTGGAAAACAAACTGGTAGTAGCTATTAATCAAAATACATATATCCTCTGAAGCATCAAAGTATGCAACTTCTGAGACTTCGTTCGAGAGAACTAAGTGCCCCAGGATTTAAAGATTAGCACAAGGAAACCACCTGAATATCCATCAGCAGATGAATAGTTGAACTCCATGAAATAACTACACAACTACTAAAACAAATAAATTAGATTTTATATCTAGTGACTTGAAAATATGTTCACAGTACATTAACTTAAAAAAAAAACCACTTTGTAGAATACTATGTACTTTAAAGTATGACGCCATTTTTTAAAATCCCTATCTACCTTTTTTTACTTGTCTATACAAGCATGTAGAAAGACAGACAAGATTTCAGACTGATACTAGTTGTGCCAGACAGATAGGGTTAGAGGAATGCAAGAGAAACTGAAAAGATATTACAGAATCTTCCTTTAGTCATTGGTGTAAATTTACTTCTTAATAAGAGCAGATTTACCATTGCAATTTTTTTAATCTAAGAAAATTAGAAAGGAAAAGATTCCATATTCTATCAAGTTAGCAAACATTAAATTGTTCTTTTAAAAAATAAATAAATAAATTGCTCGTTTACTTGGTGACCCCTCTGCTATACTATTCATCATATACTGTATTTGTTAATTCAATAATTATTTATTTCCCACTTACAATAGGCAGGGCACTGGAAAAGATGTTGGACATACCATGGAGAACAAGAAACACTTAATATTGATTACTAGGAAGCTGAGCCTGGTAACAGAAACAGGCATTCAGACAAAGAGCTACAGAAATGGAAATAATTATGATTAATGCTAGCAAGAAATTCAGGGTGACAAGAACATATAACTTAGAGCTACTCCTAAACTGAGGAGTCAGGAAAATCATTATTGATTAACACTGTTGAAACTAAGACACGGGGACAAACAGAAGATGACTGGAGAGGCTGGCTGTGAAGGGATGGCTATTTTGGAATGTCTGATGTGGGAAGGAACTTACAATGCTGGAGAAAACAGAAAGCCCTGTGGGCTGGACTGGAAAGAGAAATTCATTAAGGATCATGTGGATCTTTTGGAGACTGCAGAATTTTACTCTACAAGCAATGGGGAAACCATTCAATTGGGAATTCAATGCAGAATTACATTCAGTTAGCATGTAATGGAATAGAGTAACATTGAATCATTTGGTTTTTATTTCTTTTTTCTGCCTGTTTGCATTTTTCAAAGATCATGATCACTCTGGCTACAGGAGGGCAATGGGACTAGAAAGGAGCAATTGCAGACTTGAGAAAAAGTTAAGAGGCTATTTCTTAAGCCCAGAAAGGGGTATGGGAGCTTAGAATAGACTGGTGACAGTAACAAATGAAGAAAAGTATGTAGATTCTAGATACACATAAGACAGAAAGTTGAAAGGGTTCTGAGCAGCAAAGAAAAGAAGGGGTCAAGGATAAGGTGCTGGAGAAAATGAACACTCTAGTTCTGGATAGCTGGTTGGTTGTTCAGAGAGGCAGGCATGGAGGGGAAATGGTGAATGTGGTTTTGGGTATGTTTCTTCTGAGACGCCCACGAAGCAGTCAGGTGGGAAACACCTAATGTCAATTAGAGCCTCTAAGTCTGGGCCTCAGAAGAGAGATTTATACTAGAAATCTAAGTACTGTCTGCACAGAGATGGATCAATAGGAGTAGATGAGAGGGTACTAGGTTACTAGGGTAACTCAGCAGAGTGAGGAGAAAAAGGCTGAGGAGTAAGTCCTAAGCAGCCCCAATATTTAAATGCAAACCACAACAGAGTCTACAGAGATGGCTGGGAAGAATACCTGGAGAAAAAGGAGGAGAAGTAGAACAGGGTGAAGGAGAAAGACAAAAGTCAAGAGGGTGGGAGGCAATCAAAAAGGAGTAAGTGGTCAACCCTATTTGGTATGATGTAAAGCCTGAAAGATAAAAGGATTTTACTAAAACAGAAGAAACCCCAGTATGTTTAAATATTGATAGAAAGAAGCCAACAGAGGTGGGGAAAAAAGGATGAAAATGGACAAAATAACTGCTAAGCTCAAGTTCTTTAAAAAGATTTCTTTTGGGGGTAGGGAGTGGCAGCGTTCACAGAAGGGACCCCAAGTGAAAGAACTAGAAAGAGAGATGGAAACCATCTCCAATATAACACGAAAGAAAAAGACAGAATTCAATCTACATTTAACATTTAGGAGTTTATAAATCTGATAAAGAAGTTAAGATAATTTCACATGAATAGCTTTTTTTTCTTCTCCCTGTGAACCAGAAATGCAGTTTTCTCCTGAGTGAAGGAGGACAAAAGTCAGAGATTCAGGAAACTGAAATCTGAAACAGTCCCTGCAGAGTAGGGAAAAAGAGTGGACTAGAGAAATGTATGAAGAGTCCCAGGCAGTGTTGAGAACCCAGGAACCTGGATTTGCAGTGGTATCAACCAATATGGGACTCTGACTCTCCTCCAGCAACCCTAGTTCAGCTACTCAAGGACAGGCCTGGAAAAGCCGAAGGATGGGGTCATTCAAGGTGAAGACCTGCTAGCCAGCAGGAATACAGAGTTAGCAGGCAAGTGGTCTGGGCCTCTGTGAAAGAGTAACTGAAATGATGAACCAACTCTAAGCTGGATAGGAAGAATGGCAAAACTTTAAAAAGGGAGACTTCCCTGAGGTCCCATGGTAAGACTCTGTACTCCCAATGCAGGGGACCCGGGTTCAATCCCTGGTCAGGGAACTAGATCCCACATGCCACAACTAAAGAGTTCATATGCTGCAACTTAAAAAAAAATAATAAAAAGATCCTGCATGCCACAATGAAGACTGAAGATCCCAGATCCCACGTACCACACTGAGACCTGGCACAGCCAAATATAAATAACTTTTTAAAATAATAAATTAAAAGAATCTTAAAGGGCTAGGATGACAGGAAGAAAGTGAAAGTCACAGATGAAAGGCTCCAGTGCAGTCAAGGAAGAGGTAAGGCAGACGTACCTGAGAAAGACCACTAGAAAGGCTGGGGAAAGGCTATGGCCAGAGTGCGATATTTCAAGTTACAACTGTCCAAGCAGAATGGTTCTGGTAAATAAGGTCCAGGGCACAAATGAGGTGGGAAGAGGGGCTGAGGAGGTATTAAAATAAATGAGAAAGTCGCAAGATCTACTTTTCTGTCTGCCTCCATCAGTTTAGTGAGCTGTTGAATAGGAAATGCAACTGTCCTTTCTACACGCCCGTTACATGGTATGTAGTCAATAAATGTTTGGTGAGTATATGAATGAATATAACAATCTCAGTTTCAGTTTTTTCTCCTTTACATTTGGACTGCAAGGAGATCAAACTAGTCAATCCTAAAGGAAAGCTCCAATATTTTGGCCACCTGATTCGAAGAACAGACTCACTGGAAAAGGCCCTGATGCTGGGAAAGACTGAAGGCAGGAGCAGAAGGGGACGACAGAGGATGAGATGCTTGGATGGCATCACCGACTCAGTGGACGTGAGTCTGAGCAAGCTCCTGCTGATGGTGAAGGATGGGAAGCCTGGCGTGCTGCAGTCCATGGGGTCGCAAGGAGTCAGACCCAACTGAGTGGCTGAACAACAACAATTTCTTTGGGAAATAAGTTCATTCCAGTAGTAAGACTCTGGGTCAAAGGAAGATGCTTGGCAATTGCTCAGCATGTTTTAATCACAAATACACAACACTGTCATTTCATTATTCTATAACCAAGCAAAACTTCTTACTTTCAAAATGAACTATTCCATCAATCTGATCAATAAATCCATTCATACGTCCTTCTGTGATCATTTGCGATGCTATCTTTTCTGCCTGTTTAAAAAACAAAACAAAACAAAACTCTTAGACATTTTAATTATCATAGCAAGTTATTCACATATGCTCATCAACAGAACTGAAAACTCTTGGGTTAGCTGACCATCACTAAGCCTTACATATGTGTTCATCTGCCATTCATTACAAGAGCAAATCTTAGAAATTTGACTATTTAATCCCCCAATTCTTTCCATGTACAATCCATTATTTTACGTTAACTGGAATCTGTTTCTCTTGTAAGATTTTGAACAAGCACTTAGCCCTCTTAGCAATTTTTCTCTCTGCTCAAAATCAAACTCACAATTATTCTTCTCTCTGGGATCGACACCTCAAAAAAAATCCGTAGCTTTTCTTATTCTATCTCATTTCAGTTTTCACATTGTTTATCACCCCCAAGACTATTTAAGACAGTAATTTTTTTTGAAGGAAAAACTGAAAGGAGGAAGAGTGTTCAAATTTAAAAGAGAAATGAAAGGATTTAAAAGACAATTAAAGGGGAGCAGAAGGCCGTCTAATTCCTAAAGACATATTTCATGTTTACTGTCTGTTAAGGAAATGAGGCTGTGACAGTCATTACAGTAATTCTGAACATGTTCATAATCAACCCTAACTCACTCCTGAACAGACTGTGACTAGCATTTACTGCTAAAAATATATTCACTTCCCTTAGTCTTGGCAAGGAATCATACCTCAAAGTCGAAGAAGCAAGCCATCTATTAATGGTAACTAAAGCCTTGGTTCCAAAATTGTTCCACTGACTTTACTGTGTAATAAATGCATACATGTAAAGGCATTGTGTTAATACCCTCTAAGTAATACTGGCACTTTTCCAGATTTTATACACAGCCAACCAAACTTTATCATGACTAAGAATGAAATCAACTCCCCAATAACACAGGCAACTTCTTAAGTTAAATCAACCACAGAAGTTACAACAGAATAGCTTAGAATATTACCACAGTCATTACAGGGCAGGAGAAAGAAGTGAGGCAAATGTTAGTTAAAAACCAGAAACCACTAAATTCATTCTAGGTTACTTTACCATAAATTACAACTTAAAAACCAGAGACAATTAATTCCATTATAGCACTATTTTAACACTCAAATAATTTATTTCCATTTATCTGAGGCTTTTTATGTATGTTTTTGTCACAGCTGCCAGTATTTACCAATTATAGTCATCCCTCAATATCAGCCCATGGGGGGTTGGTTCCATGAGGGCCCTGGATACCAAAATCTATGGAGGCTCCAGACCCTTACATAAAATGGAGTAGTACAGTGAATACAGCTGGCCCCCTCCATATCCACAAGTTTTTCATCCACAGATATTGAGGTCCAACTATATGTGTTTTATTTTCTCTTTATATCAATGATTTAGTCTCTTAACTTCCTTTTTATGTATTGCAAATAAGAAAATACCTTAGCTGCAGGAATCTCTAAAAGGGCTCCAAGTTCTTCAAAGGTAATATTGTTATATAATTTGCTTGCAGACAATAAATTGTGTTCAATAACAGCTCTGTCCAAGATGCTAGAACCTTAAATATAAATAAGAAAGTTATAACTTTGAAACTAGGTTTACACTGTTAAAAGACACATCTTTTTTTAAAAAAAATTTCCAGGCATGTAATAATTCATAATCATTGTCTTTATTCTTATCAAAATTTTAAAAGCAACCAAAATGCTCTAATTGATACATTTTTTATAACAAACAGTTAAATAAAAATAAAATTTAGAAGATGATTGGCAAGTAGTTACTTATTAGCTGAACAGATTTAGTCCTCTGGATTTGGGGTTTTGCTTCCTTAGACTAGTCAGCAGTTTCATTACTTTCTCTTCTCTTGCTATAAGCACAAATTTCATCAGCAAGCAGCAGCAAAACAATCATGCAATCTGTTCTGTAAGCTTGATAAGTCAAAACGTACAGAGCAATGGGAATGTCTCTGTTCCTCTGGGCACTGCACACGCACTGTATTGAGGCAAATGTGAGAAATGTTTGGAAGGCAAAATCCCTTCGTGAGATATCAGGCATAGGATCCTCCCCTAAGAAAGATAAAAGAGGGCCTGACAGAGTTCTGGACCTAAGGCCCCATCCTGAAAGTGTCAGACTGTTGGGGTCACCCAATTCTTTTTTTCCCTTTTATTGAGATATAATTAACATGTAACATTATATTCATTTAAGGTGTATAACACACTCAGTTGATATATGTATATACTGTGAAATGATCATCACCAGTTTAATTAACTAGCATCATCACCTCACAGTTATAATTTTTTTCTTGTGATGAGAACTTTTAAGATCTACTCTCTTTGCCACTTTCCAATATAAAGACCTAAATAAATAGGAAAATATGGAAGATTTAATATTGTTAACTCCCCAAACTGATCTACAGGCTCAGTGTGGTCCCTAACAAAATCCCAGCTGGCTTCTTCACAGAAATTGACAAGCTCATCTTAAAATTTACACGGAAATTCAAAGGACCCAGAGGAGCCAAAACAATTTTGAAAAAGAACAAAGCTGGAAGGCTCAAATTTTCTGATTTCAAAAATCAGATTGCTCAGACACAGCAATCAAGACTGGGGAATTCTGGTGTGAGGACAGACATACAGAATAACGGAATAGAATTGAGAGTCCAGAAATAAACTCACATTTACAGTCAACTGATTGTCAACAAAATTGCCAAGGTAATTCAGTGGGGAAATAAGAGGCCAACAAATGGTGCTAGGACAACTGAATATTCACAGGCAAAGTAAAGCTGGACCCCTACTTCACATCACATACAAAAATTAACTCAACATTAATCAAAGACCTAAATGTAAGAGCTGAAATTATAAAGCTTACAGAAGAAAACAGCAACTTTTTATGACCCTGGATTAGGCAACAGCCTTTTAGATACAACACTTAAAGCACAAGCAACAAAAGAAAAAACACAAATTGGATTGCATAAAAATTAATAACTTCTGGGTTTCAGAAGATATCATCAACAGTGAAGAAACAACACACACAATGGGAGAAGATATTTATCTGGCAATGATAACATCTAGAATACATAAGAATTCACGCAATTTAATAATAAAAAACCAAATAACCCAATTTAAAAGTGGCCAATAAGCACACAAAAAGGTGTTCAACATCATTAAGCCCTCAGGGAAATGCAAGTCAAAACCATAGAACAAGATACCACACTTCATACCCACTAGGATGACTAGTGGGTATGAAGATAATCAAAAAGACAGATAATAACAACTGTAGGAGAAAATATGGAGAAAATGGAACCCTCACACATAGGAATGTAAACTGGGGCAGTCATTTTGGAAGACAGTCTGCAGCTCCGCAGAAGACTAAACATAGTGCCATGTTGCCGCTGCTGTTGTTGTTCAGTTGCCCAGTCATGTCCAGCTCCTTACGACCCCAGGGACTGCAACACACCTCTTTATCAGTTGATGGGCATTTAGGTCGTTTTGCTATTAACAACGCTGCTGTGAACATTCATGTAAAAGTTTTTGTACAGACTGCGGCTGCTAAGTCGCTTCGGTCATGTCCAATTCTGTGCGACCCCATAGACGGCAGCCCACCAGGCTCCCCCGTCCCTGGGATTCTCCAGGCAAGAACACTGGAGTGGGTTGCCGCTTCCTTCTCCAATGCATGAAAGTGAAAAGTGAAAGTTAAGTCACTCAGTCGTGTCCGACTCTTCGCGACCCCATGGACTGCAGCCTACCAGGCTCTTCTGTCCATGAGATTTCCCAGGCAAGAGTACTGGAGGGGGTTGCCATTGCCTTCTCCGTTTGTACAGAGATTAGCTACCATATGACCCAGTAATTCCACTCCTAGATATACATCCAAGAAAATTAAAAATTAAAAAAATTAAAAACCTATGTCCGTACAAAAATTTCACGTGAATGTTCACAGCAGAACCTAAACGTCCATCAATTGATGAAACAAAATGAGGTAACACAATGTTATTTGGCAATAAAAGTGAACGAAGTACTGATATACACTACAACACAGATGAACCTTGCAAACATCAAGCTAAGTGAAAGAAGCCAGTCACAACAGATCACATATTGTATGATTACATTTATATGAAATGATCAGAATAGGCAAATCTACAGAGCAGAAAATAGCTTAGCAGTAACACTGTAAAGCCCTGGGAATATACTAAAACCACTGAATTGTAGTAATAACAACAACACTATGTCTCAAGATTGCTAGCCTAGGGGTTGTAATGACAATAAACAAAGATGGTCAAGAAAAATAAAGTAATAAAGGCTAAAATGGAAGAAGACGACAAAATACCTGTCCTATATACATAGTCTCCTGTGAGAAATTTGAAAATCATTTGCATTCTCAGAGATCCTAGTTAGAATCCCTCATTTTAGAAAAGTAATCTGATTTTATTTTTTCTTTCTTTGGCCAGAAAGCACAAAGTCAAATCTGAAGTTTAACTACATCAGTTCTGGAAACTTTTTTTACTTATTTAGCTTTTATCAGATAACTTCCTGCAAAAGAATTTATTAAAGTTGCTCAGAATACACAGGAGACAAGAAACCTAAAATTACAAAAGAAAAAGAAGAATAGCAATGGTCAAAACACACCCATTACAGATGGGCTACAAGTTTAACTTTTTAAACTTTCTAGCAGCCTATCAAATTAAGAAAATCAATCAGTTTATCAACTCACATTACTTAAATTAAATCAAGTGCTTGGGAGAATCACAACTAATCCTAAGACTGAAATGGAATTTTTCTCACTATCTGCATAAAGAATATCCTATAGAATAAATTATCTCCTTTAGAAAGAAAGATAATAATTACTTTATTTGCTTCTTAATGTACAATTAATAAAAGAAATTCAATAGATCAATATAATTGCTTCAGTAAATCTGGGAACTAGGGCAGTGACTGGTGAGGTATATATACCTTTTTGCCAAATCTTACATAAATAATTCTATACAGCTAGATTCTCTTCAATATGGGATGACAGTGAATCCAAGGCAATGTGTTTAACAGATCTGCATGTCTGTTTTGATCTTTTCCGTATTTCTAGTGGTCTACATCTATATTTTTAGTCATGTGTGCTACTGTTATAAGTTACCTTAAAATCTATAAATAAACATATATAAAATTATTGATATTATGAACAAGCATCTATTAAAAATTCTTTCCCAGCAAAGACAGTCTGACTTAAGCAAAGAGTAGGAAACACAACACCAAGCTCTATTCTTATTGGAAACACTTACCCTTTAATGAGCTTGTGCAAGCTACTGTGCCAAATTTTGCTCTATCTAAAACAGGACTGGGTAATTATGCTCTGTTACAAACTGATGTTTAAAATTCATTAAGGTACTTACCAAACAGTTCGAGTTTTTTAAAAAAATCGGGTGCTATAAGCCTAGCCTATAATTCTTCTGCCTTTTCAGTTTCCAAAAAATATTCCAAAAAATGCTTTCCAATAGGTCTACCCTTATATTTCAAACTCATGTCCAAGTATGATGTTCATCTTCAGTCAATATTCATTTTTTATCAAGCGTTAGATACAAATATTACAGAAAGATATCAAGCCTCTTCAAATTTAACATATGTTCCACCAGTGTGACCTGAATATTCACTACCACATTATAAGAAGCAGTCATTACCATCAGCTGTAGTTGCTTTCTGGTGAGGCATCAGCATGGCAGCGAATTCTTGAAGTTGATTTCCCCTGATGATCCTATCTAGGTACATTTTCTCTAGGATTCCGTAAGCAGCAAGCTGCTGGCACCTTTCATCCTTAAAAAGAGTAGCTAGCATCCGAGAACGCTGCTGTCCTAAGGGAAACAAATGAGCATCAAATATTCTCACTCTCTTTTCAATGAAAACCAATCGTTCTTAGACTGCATTTTTGCCTACTAAAATATACAGTTGATCCTCCTTATTTGTAGCAGCTAAGTCCTATAAAGTCACTGCCAACAGTGAATTAGTGAATACTCAACTGCTGCTCCTAGGGTTGACAGAGGATTAGGCTCTTATGAGCCTCTGGTCGCAGCATTTTTGTCAGCTGGTCAACATGTAATCTTGTCTTGTGTGTTTGTTTAAAGACACCTTAACTTATGGCTTACACTATACCTCATGCCTGAAAGAACTTATCTAACTTAACACATGTATATTCTCCATAAGACACATCAGACTTCCCACACTTGAGTACACAAGATAATACTATGGCACTATGCTTATGGACCATTTAAAAACAGCAAAACCATCAACAAATGCATGAAAATGTGAAGAGTATCACATAGACCACAAAAAAGGACACTTGTTTATAGTAGGAGAGCTGAAACAATGTAGAATACCACCTTGTTTGACACCTGCTGGAAACAATATAAGTAGAGGGGCTCAGATTTTTTGCTGCTCTGCATGCACATGTCTGCGTATGACTAGAAAAGCACCTCAAGTATTGATTTGGGAGGGGGTGACAAATTTTAGCAAGCAGGAAGATTCATCTACATGGAATCTGTGAATAATAAGGACCAGCTGTATATTCATTTGTGAAGACTATGATACACAATCATTCTCTCAGTAGCCAACAGGGACTGGTTCCAGGACTCCCTCATAAATACCAAAACCTGCCGATGCAAAAGTCACGTAAGTAAAATGATGTTCTATTTGCACCACCTTCATATATCCTCCCTTATATTTTAGATCATCTCCAGATTATGTGTAATACCTAATACAATTTAAATGCTATGTAAATAATTCTGGGTGGCACCAGCAAATTCAAATTTTGCTTTTGGAACTTCCTAAAAATTTTTTCCCCAAATATTTTTAACCCACGGTTGGTTGAATTTGCAGATGCAGAACCCATGGATATGGAGAACCAATCATATGCCAAAATGTCACAAATGGCTCAAATTATAGCTGATTGCTATTTTCTTCTTCTTGCTTATTTATATTTCTGTAACAAACATGCATAGTTTTGATAATGATAAAAAATTGATGAAAGATGAACAAACATTTCTCAGATGGAAAACCTGATTTTCATAGTCTCAATTTACACCTTCGAGTACTTTAAGTGGTAAAAAATCACATGATAACTGATGACATTAAAAAGTGAACTAATGGAAATAAAACTATAAACAGACTTTTTCTTTTTAAATTGATTTTTAGCTCTATATACTGAAAGCGCCTAATGACAACGACACCCACCATCAGCGAGCATACCTAGTATCCTGATCTTGCTAACCTCATTAAGAGGAACTAAGAAATCCTTAAAAAAATAGCTGATTTCACATCTGGGGCAGGGAAAATACAAAAGGAGCCTAAGGCATCTTTTTATACTACATATCAGGCAAGTACTCAAAGACTAACAGGGGGCCATGTCAAAAAGACATAATTTGGTTATATTTGGGACAACTTGAGCATCAAAAAGAATCACAACTATAATTTATTGTAACACACAAATAAATTTTAAAAACTGAGTCTACTATGCAAGAATATTCATAGCAGTACTATTACTAATAGCCAATGACAAGGCAATAGGATAAACAATGTGGTATATTCACAGAATGGCATACCACATAACAACCAAAATGAACAAAATATGTGTAACAATGTGGATAAATTTCATAAAGTTGAGCAAAAGAAGAAAGACAAGAGTATATGAAGAGTAAAGAACATTACAGCATACTAACACATATATATGGAATTTAGAAAGATGGTAATGATAACCCTATATGCAAAACAGAAAAAGACACACAGATGTACAGAATAGAGTCCACTCTGTGGGAGAAGGCGAGGGTGGGATGTTTCGAAAGAACAGCATGTATATTATCTATAGTGAAAGAGATCACCAGCCCAGGTGGGATGCATGAGACAAGTGCTCGGGCCTGGTGCACTGGGAAGACCCAGAGGAATCGGGTGGAGAGAGAGTTGGGAGGGGGGATTGGGATGGGGAATATATGTACCTCCATGGCTGATTCATGTCAATGTATGACAAAACCCACTGAAATGTTGTGAAGTAATTAGCCTCCAACTAATAAAAATAAATGAAAAAAAAAAGAGTATATGAAGAAAAAAAAAAGAGTATATGTACTACATGATTTCACTTATATAAATATAAGAAGCAGGCAAAACCAATATATATTAATGACCGCTATTAGAGGTTGGGGTTTAGGGCTAGTGATTAGGAGAAAGCAGGACAGAGGCTCTCAGGGTGCTGGTAGTATTTTGTTTCTTTTTCTGCACACTGACTACATGATGGTGTTCATTTGTGACAACTCACTAAAGTGTATACTTTTGATTTGTACAGTTTTCTGTGTGTACATGTTTTCTATACATACATGTTTCTGTATGTACAGTTTTGTGTGCTTCTACATGCAGAAGAATAAGCAGAGAAAAAGTTCACAGTGATATTTGAAAAAAAAAGGAGCAAAGAATGAATAATTCACCATTTTTCATTTTCATTTTATATTACATGCAATGAGTGATCTAGCAAGGATTAACAACAGATATTAAATTATGGAAAGGAATTTGGAAAACAGAATTTTTGTGGTGTTAAAGCAGCACCCTATGAATTGCTTACAAAAGACAAAGAGGCCAATGTACCTTTACAATGGAGTTTCTACCTTAATTAAATGAACAAACTCAGCATCACTAACGGTGGGACAAGGTAGCAGTATTCACTCTCTGATGTGATTCAACAGCAACTACATAGATATCATTATAAGGTATTCTTGCTAGAAAAAAATTTAACCTGAATTAATATAACCTCTGGCTATAATTGCTATTTTATAAGGAATTTATGGGATTAAGGAATAAATTAACAATATATATGTATATATCAAAAAGGGCTTCCCAGGTGGCACAGTGTAAAGAATCCACCTGCCAATGCAGGAGACACAGGGATACAGGTTCAATCCCTGGGTGGGGAAGATCCCTTGGAGGAGGAAATGGCAACTCACTCCAATACTCTTGCCTAGAAAATTCCACAGACAGAGGAACCTTGAGGGCTACAGTCCATGGGGTTGCAAAGAGTCAGACACGACTGTGTAACTAAGTAAATTACATAACATGTAGATCAAAAAATCTAGGATGAAGGACATTCTATATAATAACTTCAAAGTCAATATATATATATTTTTTTTTTGGACAGGAAAGTAAGATTCATTGGTGGGCCAGAGGAAGGAGGGGACAGCGCCAAGGTTCTCATAAGGGCAGGGCCCCTCATTTTTCCAGAGTGCCACCATTAGGGATGTATATACAATATGTGACCCCTCACCACCCGGGATGAGCTGCTTTTCTGCCACCATGCTTTAAAGTTCATCTGCACTAAACTTAGTAAATGCCCAGTTCTTGGAGATGTAGATCCTCTGGTGGCCAGGGAACTTGAACTTGGCCCCACAGAGGGTCTCAATCACAAGCTCCTTGTTCTGCAGCTCAGTGCGGATGGACATTATGACTTGGCCAATGTGGACCCTGGCGAGTGCACCCCAGGGCTTTCCAAAGGCGCCACGCATACCTGTCTGGAGCCTAGACTGGGAAGAGCATGCCAGTCATGGAAGTCCACTGGGAAGAGCTGTATCCAAGGTCGCTCAGGGCAACCTGCAGAGGCAGCAGGCTACACACACTGCCAAGGAGGCTGCTGTTCGCAGCCGCTGCACACTGGGCCCCCACGGGGAAAGAGCCCAGTCGGCTTAACTGGCTGCAAAAGTGTATTTTTTTAAAGTGAGGAAACTACATACAATGTTGTATGTGAACTATACCACAATAAAGTTGGGGGTGGGGGGAATGAGGAAACTCCTCTAGACTACAGGAATCTAAAGAGTCATAATCACCAAATACCACACATAATGTTGCTCCTTATTTAAGATGAAAAAGGCAGGTATAAAAGACATCCTTGAGCTAACTGAGGCAGTGATAATATGGACCAGCTGCTAAATTCTACAGTGGAATCACTGTTAACTTTTTTAGGGATGATAATGGTATTGCAGTTACACAGAAAAAAAAATGTTTCTATTCTTAGGAGACACATCATGACATATGAAGGAATGTCAAGATGACCTTCAAATAACTTTAAAATGATACATCAAGACGTGTGTGTGTGTGTGTGTGTGTGTGTGTGCGCGTGCGCGTGCACACATGCACGCGGGTGTGAACGAAACAGAGAGAGAAAGCAAATATAACAAAAAGCCAGGAAAATTTAGAAAAGAGTAATGAAGAGTAAGAAGATCTGCTAATAATAAGACACTATAAAGATAAAGCTATATTAATTTGAAGAGCATAGTATTAGTACATTCATAAATACACAGGCTAATTAATGGAACAGAATACTATGTCCAGAAATCTATTATAATGTGCTTCAAATTAATAGGGAGAAAAAGGATGCATAATTCAATAAAGAATGCCAAGTCAAATAACTAGCCATTTAGAAAAACAAGACTTCTTGTTTTAGAAAAACTGGGACTTCTTTGATGGTCCCAGTGTTAGGACTCCACACTTCCACTAAAGAGGATGTGAGTTCAATTCCTGGTCATGAACTAAGCCATGTGGTATGTCCAAAAAAGTCACTTATGTTTATATGCAACAGATCTATTATTGTTACCTTTAAATAAATTAATAAATATTTTTAAATTACTCACTTCAACTTCTAATACACTAAACAGCAGATATACTCTACATAAACAAAAGCTCTCTAGGGTTCTCAATTTTTCAGAGTCTAAATCACTGCAAATGGTGATTGCAGCCATGAAATTAAAAGACGCTTATTCCTTGGAAGGAAAGTTATGACCAACCTAGACAGCATATTAAAAAGCAGAGACATTACTTTGTCAACAAAGGTCCGTCTAGTTAAGGTTATGGTTTTTCCAGTGGTCATGTATGGAGATGAGAGCTGGACCCATAAAGAAGGTTGAGCAGCAAAGAATTGATGCTTTTGAACTGTGGTGTTGGAGAAGACTCTTGAGAGTCCCTCGGACTGCAAGGAGATCCAAGCAGTCCATCCTAAAGGAGATCAGTCCTGGGTGTTCATTGGAAGGACTGATGCTGAAGCTGAAACTCCAATACTTTGGCCACCTGATGCGATCAGCTAACTCACTTGAAAAGACCCTGATGCTGGGAAAGATTGAGGGCAGGAGGAGAAGGGGATGAAAGAGGATGAGATGGTTGGATGGCATCACCGACTCAATGGACATGAGTTTGGGTAAACTCCAGGAGCTGGTGATGCACAGGGAGGCCTGGCATGCTGCAGTTCATGGGGTCACAAAGTGTCAGACATGACTGAGCAACTGAACTGAACTGAACTGAAAGATCAGAGGATTCAAGAACTTATACCAGAAGAAAACATGAAGGAATCTAAAATATGTAATTTCAGAATAGGAAAGACCTTTTAAGCAAGTCAACAAAACCCCAAAGCTATAAAAGATTAAAATATTTAACTATATAAAAATCTAAAGTTTCTGAATGGCAAAAGTTCATAAATAAAGCCAAAAAAGAGATAATAAACTGGGAGAAAAACTTGTTAATTTCTTATATATGTGAACAGTTTTTATAAGAAAAAGATAAAAAATGGCTAATGAACATAAACAGACTAATTTACTCCAAAAAAAATGGGTTTTTCAATAATGATTTTTTTTTAAACACATGAAGAGATGCTCAAAAGCATTCATAGTAAGTAAAATGCAAATTAAAACTAGAATGAAATATTACCTTTCTTTTACCAGGTTAGTAAGGATAAAAAAATTTGGAAATATGTGTGTGAGTAACCAGGTACATTGGAAAAGACCTTGATGCTGGGAAAGACTGAAGGCAAAAGGAGAACAGGGCGGCAGAGGATGAGATGGTTAGACAGTATCACTAATCCAATGGACATGAACTTGAGCAAACTCCAAGAGATAGTGAAGGACAGGGAATTATGGCTTGCTATAGTCCATGGGGTCACAAAGAGTCAGACACAACTAAGCAACTGAACAACACAATTAGGTACACACAGACATTATTGTTTAGAGGGTAACGTTAAAAGGCAACTTTAGTTTCATTCTTTTACAAGTGGTTGACCAGTTTTCCCAGCACCACTTGTTAAAGAGGCTGTCTTTTTTCCATTGTATATTCTTGCCTCCTTTGTTGAAGATAAGGTGTCCATAGATTCGTGGATTTATCTCTGGGCTTTCTGTTCAGTTCCATTGATCTATATTTCTGTCTTTGTGCCAGTACCATACTGTCTTGATGACTGTGGCTTTGTAGTATAGTCTGAAGTCAGGCAGACTGATTCCTCCAGTTCCACTAGAACACTTTCTAACACCATACACAAAAATAAACTCAAAATGGATTAAAGATCTAAATGTAAGACCAGAAACTATAAAACTCCTAGAGGAGAACATGGGCAAAACACTCTCCGACATAAATCACAGCAGGATCCTCTATGACCCACATCCCAGAATTTTAGAAATAAAAGCAAAAATAAACAAATGGGACCTAATGAAACTTAAAAGCTTTTGCACAACAAAGGATACTATAAGCAAGGTAAAAAGACAGCTCTCAGATTGGGAGAAAGTAATAGCAAACGAAGCAACAGACAAAGGATTAATCTCAAAAACATACCAACAACTCCTGCAGCTCAATTCCAGAAAAATAAATGACCCAATCAAAAAATGGGCCAAAGAACTAAACAGACATTTCTCCAAAGAAGACATACAGATGGCTAACAAACACATGAAAAGATGCTCAACATCACTCATTATCAGAGAAATGAAAATCAAAACCACAATGAGGTACCATTACACGCCAGTCAGGATGGCTGTTATCCAAAAGTCTACAAGCAATAAATGCTGGAGAGGGTGTGGAGAAAAGGGAACCCTCTTACACTGTTGGTGGGAATGCAAACTAGTACAGCCGCTATGGAGAACAGTGTGGAGATCTCTTAAAAAACTGTAAATAGAACTGCCATATGACCCGGCAATCCCACTTCTGCGCATACACACCGAGGAAACCAGATCTGAAAGAGACATGTGCACCCCAATGTTCATCGCAGCACTGTTTATAATAGCCAGGACATGGAAGCAACCTAGATGCCCACCAGCAGACGAATGGATAAAGAAGCTATGGTACATATACACCATGGAATATTACTCAGCCATTAAAAAGAATTCATTTGAATCAGTTCTAATGAGATGGATGAAACTGGAGCCCATTATACAGAGTGAAGTAAGCCAGAAAGATAAAGACCAATACAGTATACTAACGCATACATAGGGAATTTAGAAAGATGGTAACGATAACCCTATATGCAAAACAGAAAAAAGAGACACAGATGTACAGAACAGACTTTTGGACTCTGTGGGAGAAGGCGAGGGTGGGATGTTTCGAGAGAACAGCATCGAAACATGTATATTATCTAGGGTGAAACAGATCACCAGCCCAGCCTGGATGCATGAGACAAGTGCTTGGGCCTGGTGCGCTGGGAAGGTCCAGAGGAATCGGGTGGAGAGGGAGGTGGGAGGGGGGATTGGGATGGGGAATACTTGTAAATCCATGGCTGATTCATGTCAGTGTATGACAAAAACCACTACAATATTGTAAAGTAATTAGCCTCCAACTAATAAAAATAAATGAAAAAAAAAAAAGGCAACTTTAATTTCTATCAAAATTTTAAATGTATGTACCCTTAGATTCAAGAATTTAACCTATACATAATTCGTATTACCACTACAGCATCGTAATTGACTAATTATGATAAAGTCAAAGGATAGAAAATAAAAAAGAATGAGTTTTATGAGTTGTAGAAAGAGTACTGTGATGGATAGCCACATAAAAAAAAGCACCTTGAAAAAGTTTGTATATCATGTTATAATTTGTGTATAAAAAGGAGGATACACACTTATATACTGAAAGAGATAGAAGAAATCAGTAATAGTTCTTCAGAGTTGGAAGTGGTACCATTTTACATACTCTTTTCAGTAACAAAAATAAAATAAGTAAGATCACTGCTTCACAGAGAATGAAATGTGTAGTCTGAATATGTCATTAGGCTCTCAACTAAACACAGTTCAAAAACAAACATTATAAAATGATTTAGAAATGCCATGACTTAGAATTATCAGCATTTCCTCTCAATGCCCTTTCCTGCTTTATAAGTTGAATGATTTACATGCTGTAGTTTAGTAAAAAGGACAAAGGACAGTTTACTACTTATATTTATTGGAGAAAAAGATAAGTGCCAGGTCTAAAACTGAGGCTTGAAAATAAAAAATTTTTAAAAATCCCCAAGGCAGTACATTAATTATATCATCCATTTCCAGATTTTAATTTTCATTTCCCTTTGTGTAACTGTCAATTTAATATCCATTTTCTTCAGTGATATTTTAGCAGAACTAACCTTCAGATTATCTCTTAACAATTCCTAATATCTGTGGGTAACAGGCTGGTAAATACATATTTTTATTTATTTTATTTTTTTTTAAATACATATTTTTAAAACGTCTTAAGTTAGCAACCTACTCTTACTGCTTAAATGTTTTAATTAAATTTACCATAATTGTATTAATAAGACATCCTCTTGAAGAAGAGTTTCTCACCAAATCCTCAAATACAGTGAAAGTCACTCCGTCGTGTCCAACTCTTTGTGACTCTATGGACCCTACAGTCCACGGAATTCTCCAGGCCAGAATACTGGAGTGGGTAGCCTTTCCCTTCTCCAGGGGATCTTCCCAACCCAGGGATTGAAGCCAGGTCTCCCACATTGCAGGTGGATTCTTGACCAGCTAAGCCACCAGGGAAGCCCAAGAATATTGGAGTGGGTAGCCTATCCCTTCTCCAATGGATAGCAACGAACCTAAAGTTATTAAGCAAAGATAGCTTTCTGTTCATTAAAGCACAAATGATGTGTTTACCTGCTGACGCTAAGATGGTACAGTGCAGAGCATGTTTTAAGGCCTCTAGTCTTTCACTTTCATGCACTATTGTCTTGTAAGAGAGTTCATTGTACCTCTGTGCAGCTTCAATGAATTTTCTTCTATAATCAAGAACACGTGCATAGCATACCTATAAGAGGGAAAATGTTTCAATTGGGGGGAAAATTAACAAGCAAAAGAAAAGAGAATTTCTAACATATAACAACAGCATTTATCAGATATTCTGGAGCACCTTAATATTGTGGGATTCTCCAATACAAAATTAATTCCAAATCAGTTTATCTGTTACCTTATAATGTATCTGTAACTGTTCATTGGTTGATTCATTCTGGAGCAACGATGCCCGATTTATGTAAGCCTCTGCCTGGACTGGATCATCGTCCTCCAGATATAGCCGAGCAATCTTCAGATAGGTCTCCAGTTTATAATCAACATTGTACTGTCTAGGCAATAAGAGGAAGACACAGAATGACTATTTCACCAAGAAAATTTTTATGGGTGGTAGAAAATAAGTTATTTTTTCCTGATATGTACACATATATTCTGTTACTATAAGGGACTCAAACTTTTTACTTCATTGGAAAAACACAGAGAAGCTAAAAAACATTTCCAAAATAAATTTTACTGAGTTTTCATTATTTTTGTCATTATTCATAGCTATTTTAGCTTCTTTTAATCCTCAGATAATCTCACAAATCAAAGATCTTTTAAAAAAAAATTTTTAAAAGCCCAGTTCAAGGACATATCATGTACCACCGAAAGAACTATGGGCATGTACTTCCATCCTGGACAACAATTTGGCAGTATGCTCTCCAACAATTCTTTGAATCCTTTAAAACGCATATACTCTTTACCTACTATATTCTACCTCTAAAAAGTAAATCCCCCCCAAAAATCATGCATGTGCACACATATACATGTACAGAATATTCATTTGTAAAGTTATTCATAAATATTCATAATAGGAAAAAATGGAAATCACCCATAGTGGTATTTATGGTAATTAATTAGGTTGTGGTACATAAAGATGACAGATACTACATAGTTATATATATATAAAAAATTATATACAGTGTCATTATTATAATAATTATTTCTGATAAAAGTCATGTTTTCACTAAATGAAAAAATGGATAAAAAAGTACATAAAAACACTATCAAAATGTATTTCTATATACATACATCAAGAGAGGAATTGTAATTATTTCTTGGAGTGATAATACAGGTAGTTTTTTCTTTTTCTTCTTATCCCAAAGGTCACATTTATATGCAAGGAATGCATAACTGAAGACTTTATATAATTTAAAACACATAATTCAAGATTCACCCTCACAGAAAAGTTAATTCTACTCACCAGCAAAATTGGTGTTACCATGTGGCAAGAATAGAGTTTACAATTGACTTGATCCTAACTTTGAAACTAATTCTTCAAAAAATTTTATATCAATTCAAAATTTTCCATAAGTCATATATTATTAAGTTTCTATTATCTCCATTCACAACTCATATTTACATAAATTGCTATAAACAAGACCGTATTTTTCTGCATTTTCATTTTTTATGCCAAGTATATCTATTAATCAGAATGAATCCTTTTTTAGGGAAACAAGCTCTCAATAATTTATCCAAATCACTTTAACTTGTTTAGAAAACCATAGAATTTTCAGTTCTTGGTATCCTCACAGATAATGTTACAGTACTCTCAAAACATTAATAACCACCACCTCAAAGAACAATATCTATATTTATGTCAACTACCAATGAAAATAAATCATTTGCTCTGTACTAACAAGACATTGCTCCAGACAGAATAAGACCAAAGCAATTAAGAAAGCCCTCAGCCTTTACAGAGGCTTCCATGGAGGTTCAGATGGTAAAGAATCTGCCTACAATGCAGGAGACCGAAGTTCGATCCATGGGTCAGGAGGATCCCCTGGAGAAGGGAATGGCAACCCGTTCCAGTATTCTGGCCTGGAGAAGTCCATGGACAGAGGAGCCTGGCGGGCTACAGTCTATGGGGTCGCAAAGAGTCAGACTCAATTGAGAAACTAACGCATTTACTTTTTCAGCCTTTTCAAACTATCAAAGGAAAAAACCGAATTAACAAGAAGCCTTAGAAAACAAAATTCAACATCTATATATAAAAAGGCTTTTTCATATACTGACTGCTTTTTCAAGGGGCATCATTTCATGCAAAAGGCAAGATAGCTGAAGTAGTGTTTGCCTTATAACCACAAACATTAAGGAAGACAAAATAAGAATCCCTTATTCACCTGGTAAAAGAGTAGAGAAGTAACTGAAAATATTTTTTGTCATTTAGTTGGTATTTTTATAGTTGCCAACTGAAAAAGGAAGTGTGTTCAATAATACAACCAAGAGTTTCACAACTTTCATCTTTCTTGTACAATATAAAGAACTAAATATTTTTAAAAAATCATATCAAAGGCAAGATTGGCTGAACAAGAGTTGCAAACTATCATCTTAATTTTTCTAACTATTCTTCCATCTCATTTTCTCTAGTATCTCAAACCCCAAAATCCACTGAACTCACTGTGACCCCAAACCACTGATCCTATTACATTGTTACTCTATTTTTCTCCTTAAAAACCTCACTTTCCTTCTGACCTCACTTAACCCCTATGGCCAATCATCATCATCACTGAATTGTACATGCACTCACCTGCCTAGTCCCTCTCATGCTGTTGTAGTTGTTGGGTAAAATCAAAATGCTGGTTAAATCGGAGAGTTCATCCACTCCTTTCTTACAACCATGTAGCTGAACTCTGATGGAGAAAAATACCCATCCAATCTGACTGATCTCATTTTACAGACTACGACCGTTAAACAAGCCTTAATGCTGTCAAGTATACTGTACATCTTTAGTCTATTTACTATCCCACTCTCCTGGAAAATTTTTCTGATATTCTTGTATCTCTTCAACCTCACTACTCCCACCCCTATCAGCTAATGATCTGATTCCAACTTCACTAAGAATACTGAAATAATCAGAGTACTTACACAAGCTCCACCACTGTATTACTAACATCTGCACCATATACTCTGTGTTCCTGGGTAGATCACTGGGGACTAGTCTGCCCACCAGGGACTATTCAGCAATGTCTACATTTTCGATAGTCACAACTAGGAGTTGGGGAACCACTGGCATCCAGTAAAGTAGAGGCCCCTGGTGCTGCTACACATCTGTAATACCTAGCACAGCCTCCACAACAAGGAACTATCCAATCTAAAGTGCCAACAGTGCCAAGGTTGAGAAACTCTGCCAAGTATAACTATCTGCTGGCCTATCTGAAGACTATCCCTCCACTGGATTCCTTCCCCTCCAGTCTACTCCTGCAAGAATGCCCTCCATTACTCCCCAAGATCAAAGTTGTGCCTTCCACTGAATCATAAAAGAACAAAACAATCTCTACCTAACTGTCATCTTCTACCCTACTTCTCTGCTTCCTTTTGTGAACACTTCCCCGAGGACTTGCCCATGCTCACCATCTCCAGTTCTTCTCTTCCCATTCTCTTGTAAACAACTCCAGTCGGGCTTTCGCTCTCACCATTTCACCAAACCAGCTTCTGTCAAAGCCACCAATGATCTCCACATTACTCACTCTTATGGTTAACCTTCAACTCCTCCTCTTATGTGACCATTAACACCCCACTGATCACTTGCTCCTTCCTGATACACTTTCCTCATCTGGCTCCGCAGATATCACACTCCACATTCTCCTGGTTTTCCTATTACCTCAATGGACAATCCTCACCCGCTTCATCTCCCTCCTGCCCTGACCTCTTAATGTCAGAATACCAGTACTCAGTCCCCTTCTCTACCTATATGCCCTGCCTCAGAGATCTCATCCAATCTAATGGCTTTAAATTCCATTTATATCTCAATGGTTCCCACAGGTGTCAATATATCTCTAGTCCAGACCTCTCTTCTAAACTCCAGACTAACAAATTCAACTCTCTACTAGGTATTTCTACTTGGTTATCACATGTTCAAAACAGAACTCTTGCTCTTCCCTCAAAACCTATTCTTTATCGTTCAGTAGCTGGCAACTCTGTTTTTCCAGTTGTTCAAACCAAAACTCAGGACTTCTCTTGGCTCTTTTTCTTATATCCAAGCTGTCAAGAAATCCTTAGCTTTACCTTAAAAGCATATTCAAAGTCCAACATTTCTCACAATCTCTATCTCACCTGCAGTAGTGAGATAAGCCTCTCAGCTAATGTCCCTACTTCTATCACTGCATGCCTGCAGTTTATTCTCAACCCAGTAGTTAGAATGACTCTTTAAAATATGTCAGGGACTTCCCTCATGGTCCAGTGGTTAAGAATCCACCCTCCAAAACAGGGACGTGGGTTTGATCCCTTCAGGGAACTAAGAATCCCACATGCCGTGGGGCAACTAAGCCCATGGGACGTAACTACTGAGCCCATGCATCACAACTAGAGAAGCCCAGACGCCACAGCAAAGAGCCTGTGGGCCACAACTAAGACCTGACGCAGCCAAATAAATAAATGCTTTTTTAAAAAATGAAATATAACTCAGATCATGTCCTCTGTACAAAATCCCTCAAAGGCTTTTCATCGTTTCACTTAGAAAAATGCCGCAGGCCTTACAGTGACTGACAAGACCCCACATACTCTGGTCCCCAGTCCTCTCTGATCTCACCCTCTGTCACTTTCCCCATTGCTCACTCCACCCACAGTGGTCTCCCTGATCTTCTTTAAACACTCTGAGCAAGAGCCCATCTTACGGCCTTTGCACTAGCCATCCTCCCCAAGAGGAGCTACTGATACTCTTCTCTCAGGGAGCGCACAGCCACTCCGTTACCCCCTTCAAGTGTTTAGAAAGGTGCTATCAGGACCACCCTACCACTCTAAGCACCCTATTTAGTAACACATCCTGCCCCCCACTTTATCCCCTTTCTCCATAGCCCTTATCAGCTTCTAACATAGTACAAAATTTATTTATTCATTAAATTGTTCATTATCTGTTTCCTGTACTAAAATGGAAGAAAAAAGTAAGTGAACAGTTATACATATTCATTCAATATCCACTATTTACTATACTTTTGTCCTGTTTCCAAAGGAATTCCCACCAACACTTGGGCTGCATTTCTCCAATCTTCTTCTTTTTCATATATGGATGCAAGATGCTGTCTTATGGAAGCAACCTGGAATAGGAAGTATACGGGTTAAATTATTTCCACTGATGTTAGTAACTAATTAAAATAAACAGAATGATAATTTATCATGACAATGCTCTTATTCAACATATTATGCAGGCAAGTAAACAGTAAAAGTTTACCTAGACTACCCAAATTTCTTTTGTGAACTTTGCAGTCATAAAATATCAAGACACTGAACTAGCACATATCTGTAATGTGGATTATGGCAATAATTTAAATATTAAGTTCTGCTTTTGTGTCACTGCACATGTAATGCTGGAGTTCTCCTATGTTCTCAGCCTAATTAACAATTTATTGATTTTTAAAAATAATCTAGGGCTTCCCTGGAGGTCTGGGTGTAAAGACTCTGCCTGCCAGTGCAGGGGACACAGGTTTGATCCCTGGATCAGGAAGAATTCCACTTCTTGAGGAGCAACTAAGCCCATGAGCCACAACTACTGAGCCTGTGTGCCTAGAGCCTGCACTCTGCAACAAGAGAAGCCTCTGCAGCGAGAAACCTTCGTACCACAGCTAGAGAGTAGCCCCCTGTCGCCACAATTACAGAATAGCCTGCACAGCAATGAAGACCCAACACAGTCCCAAATAAATAAATAAATAATTCTCAAACCCAAAATAATCTAAAAAGTAATCTCTGGTTCATAAAAGCAAATTATAGCATATGAGCAAATGTCAACTGGACTTAAAATATCATAATACTTATTTGATCTTATGTTGAAAAATGTTGTTTGGCACACTGTTTTGTAAAAATAAAATTGAATGATTATCACCTTTAAAAATTTAATAGTATCTCTCAAAATAATTGCTGCTATTTCAGGTTTAAAAATCACCACTCTTTTTTTTTTGTTGTTGTTGTTGTTGTTTGTGTTTATATATATTTTTTTTATTTTTTTATCACAACCATAGTGTATCTTTTTTTTTTTTACATGTATTCCCCATCCCGGTCCCCCCTCCCACCTCCCTCTCCACCCAATCCCTCTGGGTCTTCCCAGTGCACCAGGCCCGAGCACTTGTCTCATGCACCCAACCTGGGCTGGTGAACTGTTTCACCCTAGATAATATACATGTTTCAATGCTGTTCTCTTGAAACATCCCACCCTCGCCTTCTCCCAGAGTCCACAAGTCTGTTCTATACATAGGAGTCTCTTTTTCTGTTTTGCACATAGGGTTATCGTTACCATCTTTCTAAATTCCATATATATGTGTTAGTATACTGTAATGGTCTTTATCTTTCTGGCTTACTTCGCTCTGTATAATGGGCTCCAGTTTCATCCATCTCATTAGAACTGATTCAAATGAATTCTTTTTAATGGCTGAGTAATATTCCATGGTGTATATGTACCACAGCTTCCTCATCCATTCGTCTGCTGATGGGCATCTAGGTTGCTTCCATGTCCTGGCTATTATAAACAGTGCTGCGATGAACATTGGGGTACACGTGTCTCTTTCAGATCTGGTTTCCTCATTGTGTATGCCCAGAAGTGGGATTGCTGGGTCATATGGCAGTTCTATTTCCAGCTTTTTAAGAAATCTCCACACTGTTTTCCATAGTGGCTGTACTAATTTGCATTCCCACCAACAGTGTAAGAGGGTTCCCTTTTCTCCACACCCTCTCCAGCATTTATTGCTTGTAGACTTTTGGATAGCAGCCATCCTGACTGGTGTGTAATGGTACCTCATTGTGGTTTTGATTTGCATTTCTCTGATAATGAGTGATGTTGAGCATCTTTTCATGTGTTTGTTAGCCATCTGTATGTCTTCCTTGGAGAAATGTCTGTTCAGTTCTTTGGCCCATTTTTTGATTGGGTCATTTATTTTTCTGGAGTTGAGCTGGAGGAGTTGCTTGTATATTTTTGAGATTAATCCTTTGTCTGTTGCTTCGTTTGCTATTATTTTCTCCCAATCTGAGAGCTGTCTTTTCACCTTGCTTATAGTTTCCTTTGTTGTGCAAAAGCTTTTAAGTTTCATTAGGTCCCATTTGTTTATTTTTGCTTTTATTTCTAAAATTCTGGGATGTGGGTCATAGAGGATCCTGCTGTGATTTATGTCGGAGAGTGTTTTGCCTATGTTCTCCTCTAGGAGTTTTATAGTTTCTGGTCTTACATTTAGATCTTTAATCCATCTTGAGTAAAAATCACCACTCTTAATGGCCAATATTTTATAATATTAACTATAAATAGGATATAACCTGTAAAACTTGTGAATCACTATACCATACACCTGAGGCTTATAATAGTATACATCAACAATACTTCCATTAAAAAAAAAAGAAAACATAATAAACAGATTAAAAATAAAACAAAAATCACTGCTCTAGGTATTTACCTGCTCCTCAAATGAAATGACTCTAGGCTGGATCTTTTCCAAGGTGAAATGATAGATTTCTTTGGCTGTGCTATCAGGCAGGTTAGGGAGATGGGTGCAGAAATCAGTCAGCAACTGGCGAGAGATCACGAGGCTGACATTCTCATTTACCACTTGTTTAAAAAAAAAGTAAAGGATGAGAAAAACATAAGTAATCTGCATGTTCTCATTAAGCAATTTTCACTTAAAATTAATACTAAAATATATTAGTGTACCTTTCAAAGCGTTATTTCCCGATCTCCATACTGTTATAACCTTATATTACAGAACCAGTTTTTCTTATTCTAAGTTTTTTAATCACTTAACTGCACCAAAACATTAAAAATACCTAGTGCCACCTGGGAAGCACCTTAAATATCACAACTTTTCTAAGAATCAGAAATGGCTGAGAAAAAGTTAACAGTTGAGAATTTTATGTTATTCCTTTCTCTTCTTTATTTTTCTACAAAGTGAAAGCACAGAAATACCTATATTTTTATTTATATTCTTATATCCCACCTAGCTACAGAAAAAAAAAGTTAAAGAAGAAACAGTGAAACACTTTTCATTAAGTTTAAATAAAGTGAATAGAGATTGTTATTGCCACTTGTACCTTACCAACAAAAACAACAAATAAGAACTTAGGTCAGTACTAGGAAATTTCCTGGTGGTCCAGTGATCAGGAAACCATGATTTCACAGGAGTGAAATCACGGCACGGGTTTGATCCCTGTCAGTGAACTAAGATCCATATGCTGAACTAAGATCCTATATGCTGCATGGTGCAGCCAAAAAAGAAAAGAACAAAAAAAATTTAATAAATAGAGGCTTAACAATATAAACAAAAAATAAAGTCAATTTCTACTGTAAAATAAAAGAAGTTAGATCAGCACCAGATGTATGGGATGGGTTTCCCTGGTGGCTCAGAGGTAAAGAATCTGCCTGCCAATGCAGAAGACGCAAGTTCAAGCCCTGGGTCGGGAAGATCCCCTGGAAAAGGAAATGGCAACCCACTCCAGTATTCTTGCCTGGAGCATCCCCTGGACAGAGGAGCCTGGAGGGTTACAGTGCATAGGGTTGCAAAGAGTTGAACAGGACTTAGTGACTAAACAACAAGATGTATAAACATATTTTATGCCATTGCTTGTAAACATTTATTCTGTATTATTATATATGATTAAGGATGAAAACTCTGGAGCCACACTGCTTACAAACCCTCCTGATTATATGCCCTTAGGCAAGAGACTTATTTCCCTGTGCTTCTCTTTCTTCTTTTGTGAAGTTAGGTTCACAGAAGAAGAAACCCGTGAAGGAGGATGCTGTGAAATTTCAATGCAATTTACCTAAAGCACTTTAAGCAATACCTGGCACATACCACTCAACAAATGTCAGTTATTATTATCACTCTCATTACATTTTAAAAAGATGCCTCATGTTTGTGAACCACTCCTTAGATAAATTTAGTTTAAATCAGTAGTTACTGAGGAAATAAACGATGGTTCAAAAACTATTCCGCTGATGCAAATGATTGTTAACAGTAGACTGCTTTTTTTTTTTTGGTGATTCACTAGATTCAAAGTTTATAAAAAGCACTGCTCTTTCACTACCAAGTGCAATGGTCTTTAAAAAGCTATGAGTTTTTCTGAAACCAATGCCAGTTTGTTTCACATTGCAGGCCCAAGTTATTTGAGGCAGTAACTGACAGGCTGTGTAACTAATCAGTTTACAGTGTATTAACTGGAATTGGATGATACCGGATGTGACGGAGAACAGTTTCATTACAAATGCCATCAGGCACCTATAACTGATAGAAGTCGAAGCTCTGCCACCGGCTAATGAAACGCCCTTGAGGAAAAAAATCCCTTAACCCTGAGACTCATTTTACGATATATTATATAGGCTACTTACACCTACATTGTTAATCACAGGGTCACAAAGCGGAGCCTCTGTGACGCATGTGTGTGAAAGCACCCTATAAGCTATAAAGCACTCTCAAGTTATCATTAATACTGTGAACTCAGAATAAATCCAAGCCTGAATTCTGAGGAATTTTCAAAATAACTGGGTACGGGAGGAGTATCTTAAAAGAATGGAAATTTCTAGTTCCCATTCAAAATAAATGTTCTTAACAACAGCTAATACTTATCTAGCACTTATCATATGCCAGGTACTATTGTAAGCACTTTATTATGGGTATTAACTCATTTAACTTCCCAACAATTCTACAGGGTAGTTATCATATCCCCCTTTTATAGATAAGGAAAAGGAGGCATAGAGAGGTTATATAATCTACCCAAGATGACACAGCTAATAAAACAGCAGACCAGGATTTGAATCCAGACTATTCTCTTGTCATTTGCTATACTGCCTCTCATCAGTTATTATATTAATAACTATGCAAAACCATAAATGTAAATGTAAAAACATCTTCACAGTTCATTGAAAAGCAAATATCAAGTGGCATGTAGTTAAAATTCTAAAATCAATCAAGCTCAATACATACTTAATTTACTCGCAATGTAAATTATATTGACAATTTAATCTAAAACAAGGCTTGAGAAAGCTTTTAAGTCTTAACTTGGTAATACAAGGCAAACATGGAATTTTTACTCCACTTACTTGATTCCACAAAAGCTTTCAAAGCTTCTAGTTGTTCTGCCCCAGATAACTGAATGGCTTTTTCCAGGATCTGACGATACCTAAAATAATACAGAAGAAAAAAAAAAGTGTGTTTAGAAGTCACCTATATAGACTATGGGCTTCCCAGGTGGCTCACTAGCAAAGAATCTGCCTGCCAGTGCAAGAGATGCAGGACACACAAGTTTGATTCCTGGCTCAGGAAGATCCCCTGGAGGAGGAAATGGCAACCCACTCCAACATTTTTGCCTAAATAATTCCATGGAAAAGAGGAGCCTGGAGGGCTGCAGTCCATGGGGTCACAAACTGAGCAACTGAGCATATAATCTAATACTAACTTTGATATTTATTTCTATTTACCGTGGTTTCTTTCATTGTGCTCTAGTTTGTGGCTTTGTTTATAGTAGTACACTACAGATTTAAGTTTTCAGTCCATCATAAGAAACATTAAATCTATAATTCAAAGTGCCACTTGTAGTTTTCTTTACAGTATACCAGAATTTTTAAAGTTTACATGTCCATTACAAAAAGACTAAATCTAAGTTACTGGATCTAAGATGCCACTTTTTCTTTAAAGTTTCAGTTCTGAATTTAAAACATCAATTTTCTTTCAAGTGCCTCGAAAGGTAAGCTACATTTCCTTCACTAATGTACGCACAAGGACATTATTTGAGGTGACCCAGAACCTTTTCCTTATGGCCCTAATGAATATAGGGTTACCAACAACAGGATTATGTTGACTAGCCAATGAAGCCAAATACTAGAGATCAAGTGTCTTAGTGTGTACAAAACACACCCCACCAAGCCAAATGTACTGACTGAACGTCCTTCATCTGTCAGTCAGGGCCCATGAGTTCTCTACTTTCATTCGCTTCTAACAACTATTCTAATATTCATGATCACAAAAATTCAAAGCAGCATTCTAAAAAATGAGGGGGTAATGCTAAAAACAAGAATGATAAGAATTATTAAGCAATAGCAAACTGCTTCCTAACCTGTCAACTCCATCAGGACAAGGATTTTTTATTTACTGCTATGTGGAGGAGGGCATGGCAACCCACTCCAGTATTCTTGCCTGGAGAATGCCCATGGACAGAGGAGCCTGGCAAGCTATAGTCCATGGGGTCGCAGAGAGTCAACCATGACTGAGCGACTACGTATAGCACATATAATTCCTAGAACAGTACTTGGCACATCATAAGCACTCAAAGATACAATGGTATTAGGGACATTTTATTTCTTAAATTGAGTGGTTGATATTTACGTATTATATTGTTCTTTATCCCCTTTGTATGAATCATAATATTTCTTAGAAGCATTCATTAATGCATTTTAAAAACCTAATTGCAATTATTCAGAACATTATACAGAATACAGTCAAGAAACAGAAATATACAAATAGGGCCCAAATTCTTTCAAATTTATGACTTGTATTTGTAAGGCACATCCTCAAGCTACAGTTCAGCACTCACTGATTCTCATCTGATATTCTCACAAGCTTGGTTGTATGATTTCTCAAAACTGCAATGAATCAAACTGGCTTTGTAAGAAAGCAGGTATACTGACAGAAAAGACAGCCAACAGCCAACTCCAAAAGAAGAGTCAAACTAGTCCAAGAAAACAAGGAAATGTTATCAAGCTTTAAAATAAAAATTGCTACATTTGAGGGACAAAATACAATCATCTAATAATTTATTTAGATGGACTCTCATTTTCAGGAGTTCCCTGGTGGCCTATTAGTTAGGATTCCAGGCTTTCACTGCCATGGTCCAGGTTCAATCCCTGGTCAAGGAACTGAGATTTCCACCCCCCACAAAAAATCTTATTCTCTCTCTCTGTATATATACATATACACACTCTCATATGGACATTGATTTTATTCCCTATCTACATTTATACATACATTTTATTGCCCTGGGCATGACTTTAGTTAATGCATTCACTGGTTTATGATTTCTTTTTTAGATTAGCTTATTTTTCATATAAATTAAATCAAGACTATGGCTAAACCCTCTTATTCTTAAATCCCAGTTATCTTATACTAATAATATTATATTCAAAGATGACAATGTCTCAAGCAAATTTGGAAAACTCAGCAGTGGCCACAGGACTGGAAAAGGTCAGTTTTCATTCCAATCCTTAAGAAAGGCAATCCCAAAGAATGCTCAAACCAGCACACAATTGCACTCATCTCACATGCTAGTAAGGTAATGCTCAAAATTCTCCAAGCCAGGCTTCAGCAATACGTGAACCGAGGACTTCCAGATGTTCAAGCTGGTTTTGGAAAAGGCAGAGGAACCAGAGATCAAATTGCCAGTATCCACTGGATCATCAAAAAAGCAAGAGAGTTCCAGAAAAACATCTATTTCTGCTTTATTGACTATGCCAAAGCCTTTGACTGTGAGGATCACAATAAACTGTGGAAAATTCTGAAAGAGATGGGAATACCAGACCACCTGACCTGCCTCCTGAGAAACCTGTATGCAGGTCAGGAAGCAACAGTTAGAACTGGACATAGAACAACAGACTGGTTCCAAATAGGAAAAGGAGTACATCAAGGCTGTATATTGTCACCCTGCTTATTTAACTTATATGCAGAAAACATCATGAGAAACGCTGGGCTGGAAGAAGCACAAGCTGGGATCAAGATTGCCATAAGAAATATCAATAACCTCAGATATGCAGATGACACCACCCTTATGGCAGAAAGTGAAGAGGAACTAAAAAGCCTCTTGATGAAAGTGAAAGAAGAGAGTAATAAAGTTTGCTTAAAGCTCAACATTCAGAAAACTAAGATCATGGCATCCGGTCCCATCACCTCATGGGAAATAGATGGGGAGACAGTGGAAACAGTGTCAGACTTTATTTTTTTGGGCTCCAAAATCACTGCAGATGGTGACTGCAGCCATGAAATTAAAAGATGCTTACTCCTCAGAAGGAAAGGTATGACCAACCTAGATAGCACATTAAAAAGCAGAGACATTACTTTGCCAACAAAGGTCCGTCTGGTCAAGGCTATGCTTTTTTCAGTAGTCATGTATGGATGTGAGAGTTGGATTGTGAAGAAAGCTGAGTGCCGAAAAACTGATACTTTTGAACTATGGTGTTAGAGAAGACTCTTGAGAGTCCCTTGGACTGCAAGGAGATCCAACCGGTTCATCCTAGAGGAGATCAGTCCTGGATGTTCATTGGAAGGACTGATACTGAAGCTGAAACTCCAGTACTTTGGCTACCTCATGCGAAGAGTTGACCTGTTGGAAAAGACCCTGAAGCTGGGAGGGATTGGGGACAGGAGGAGGATGAGATGGCTGGATGGCATCACCGACTCGATGGGCATGAGTTTGAGTAAACTCCGGGAGTTTGTGATGGACAGGGAGGCCTGGCGTGCTGCGACTCCTGGGGTTGCAAAGAGTTGGACACGACTGAGTGACTGAACTGAACTGAAATAACTTAAGTTTTAATATACAGTTTCACAACTTATCAATCTACTAATCTATATTGGGAACATCAAAAAAAATTTTTTTTAATCTAGAACAATGGAAAAGATGGAAAAATGACTGATGTAGAGTGGTACATGACAAGTACCAAATATTTTTTCATTAAAAAAATACTATAGAGGAAAAGAAATTTAGTTAATTAAGGCTACCTTGTGTCTGTCCCATTCATTTATCATCAACAAATGTTTATCAAGCATCTATTATACATATGAATTAAAGTTCAGTATGTCAATTTCTGATTTCTTGGCACTTGAAGGGATTTGGAGGTCAATAAAACACATACATGTGCAAATGTACCACAGTCACTATATATGCTCAAAACAAGTGTAAAAGGTATGTATTCACAAATCTTTTTGTTTATAATATTGGTGAACTAGAGATTGGACCAAACTTACCTCCAAAATAACATAGAAAGTTGAAAGAAATGAAAAATAAAATTTAAGAGCATAAAATCCTAACAAGAAAAGGTAAACAAAAGAGACTAAGAGCACAGAGGTTCACAGCTTCTGCCTGAAAGCGTTTGCTGACTGTGGAAGGATGTCTGAGAGGCTGAGAGGCACGTCTGGGGGGAGAAGGAAGTGGGCTGGCTCTGGGGTGTTCTGCCATCTGCTGGAGACACGGCAAGCTGCGATTTCTGGCCCACTAATAAAACTAGAACAGGGATCTGAGGGTTTTTACCTACCAGAGGAGGAAACACTAGCACTTTGGAAGTAAGGTTACAAATTCTATTCCAAGGATCATCTAGTAGGAAGACCAGTAAATCTGGAAGCCTTGGTCCTAGACTCCTAGCACTGTCAAGTATCTGGCAGAAGGAAATGAAATTCCTCCCTGAAAGGTAATATCATCGGCCTCCACTTGTTTCTAAAAATACATTTAAAAATAATTTGCCCAACATCAAACATTACAAGGCATATGACAATATTAATAATACGCTCAGATGCTCAGGCATGTCCGACTCCTTGTGACCCCACAGACTGCATGCAGCCCACCAGACCCCCCAGTCCATGGGATTTTCCAGGCAAAGATACTGGAGTGGCTGCCATTTCCTTCTCCAGCAGATCTTCCCGACCCAGGGATCGAACCTGGGTCTCCTGTACTGCAGGCAAATTCTTTACCAATTAAGCCATCAGGGAAACCACTATGACAATATTACCTGGAATCAACAAAAACAACAGACAACAGCAACAAGCAACAAACTCCAGATACTGGTGTTATCAGAAAGACTGAAATACACTTATGCTTATCAAGTTCACAGAGAAAAAGACAAGCTTTTAGAAAGTTTCAGCAAGAAACTAGGAATTATAAAAAGTTCATTTGAAAAAAAAAAAAAGAATCACCAAAACTACATAACTAAGAAGTAATGTCACCAAAACGTAAAACTCAGTTGAGTTCTTCCCAGTGGTCTAGACACTCTTGAAGAACTGGTAAACTAGAAAGCAGGTCAGAAGAACTTATCCAGAATAAAGCACTGGAAAGTACAGAAGACAGAGTAAAGGGCAGAGGGGTCACAGTAAGAAGGCCTGACTTGGGTTTCCCTGGGGTCCTAGAGGAGAAAACAGAATGGG